CATTTCAAGATAAGGGATGATGACAACAGCAAGGTGTGAGTTATGTTCAGCTAAGGTGTCGAGAGGAGGGAAAGAAAGTACATCGTTTAACACCAGCAATCTAATTAAACATCTGAAGACGCATCATAGATCTGATGGCCGAGCGCGCGCGCAGGCGGTAATGCACTCACTCTGTGTGTGCGGGTTACGGGGGAATAAAACGATTCGCGGGACTCCCGCAAACTAGAAATATCTATGAATAAAACATAAAAACTAAAAGATTTTTATTCATCTCTTGCAGAAAAGCAACAAGAACAACTACAACAAAATAGAAACGATTTACAGGACAGAGTTTCTATTCATAACATGGTTACAGCGTTGAGCGATGTAGCCAATCACAGACATATGTGTTGATTTCTGGAACGCAATGGCCAATCAGAAGCATTTAAGATAGACTCCCCTCACTGCTCAAAACGGACTTTTTTGTTCAGTGCTGAATTCTGTATGCTGGCAAATCCTCTAATTATAACAAACAAAGTGTGGATATTGTGAAAGATTGATTGTGCAGTCAGCTTCATTGATAATAACAGAGATGTGTGAGATCGCGATGAACTGTCAGCTTTTAGGATTTATTAAGGGAGCCCACTTTGCGCGCATTCAGTCATGCCAGACCATGCACGCAGTAGCCTGCTTGCTTTTATGTTAAATAACAGTGGTTTGTGTGTTAATACATTTATTATTTTACTAATTTTTATTTATTTTTAGACTTGTTAAAACAAGCAGAGAAGAAAATAAAAACAGTCTTCTAACCTGTGTTCTAAAATAGTCGTCTTCTTTTCTGGGAGCCTATTACTTTTGCGGTAGAAATATCGGTATCGGTACTCGGTATCGGCAAGTACACAAATGTAAATACTCGTACTCGTATCGGTTTGAAAAAAAAATGGTATCGGGCCATCCCTAGTTAAATCATCAGTTCTTTCTAAAATTAAAGAGAAATGAAATAAAGGGAGACAGATTCTTAAATTACATTTGTCTTTCTCTCCATCTCTCTTTGTTGACGTTGACTGTAATGCCTCTGTATCTGTAGGACCGTCAATGTGCTGTCAAAAGAGGTGAAGGAGAATCATCCCCCAGTACCAGCCCTGAGGACACTGGCCAGTGTTTCAAGTTCACCGGGGACGGCCAGGCACTGCAGGTGAGCCGGCATCAGACACACTCTGAGACTTCAAATCTGTGCTGTACGTGTGTGTTTGTGACCTTTTTTTCCTCCTTTCTGGCTTTAAGATCACCCCTCTGCCTGGAACACACCCCCTTCTTGTGCTGGTTAATCCTAAGAGTGGTGGTCGGCAGGGTGAGAGGTAAACATCTTAGAAACTCAAACTGTTGCATCATCATATTTCATATTCTGTACAGCATTACAAGGTTGGAGAATGGTTTGCCTGACCATTTAAAGTCAGTCGAATCTGCATAGACATGTTTAACAAAAGTCCCACTCTTTTTCTTGCTTGCTGGCAGTGTCCTAAATACCATCAAAGCTTGCAGGAGACAGTAATGCTGTTTAAGGAGGAAGAATGTGGGTGTTGTTTCAGCTCTCACCACCCACTCAACGTCCTCCGGGAGACCAGTTTTGGGATTTTGTGCTGGCATCACCATAGCAACAGTTTTAAATACCATTAATTGGCCGATTATCCTCCATTATTAAACATGTGCTCAAACAAAGACGTGATAACTGCCCTGGCCCCAAAAAAGAAAGACCATTTTGGTGGTTCTTTGATGCAAACAAAGGAACAGAGTGGTCACCGTTGAATCATACTGTACTGAGTGTATTTTTCCACCATTTTCACCCCGAGCTGCGTATTGAACGCTCATTGGTTGGGTTTGACATTTGTCTGCACTCTTTTGTTCTTTGCATAGGGAACAAATGAAGTCTTCAGTGTTGATAAGTGCTCAAATTATCACCCCACATAAAAGCATAGCTTGTGACACACCTCAAAATAACAGCTCGTCTTATTTTTCTCTCTCTCTCTCCCTCTCTCTCTCTCTCTCTCTCTCTCTCTCTCTCTCTCTCTCTACCTCTGTGTCTTTGCATACTAAAAGGAAAGAGTAGCTAACACAGTTAGAAGTGAAGGACATTGCAGAGTCCTCAATAATCATTTTATTACTTCAAGGTTATTGAGGAGCACTGCTGCAACAGTGTGCAATCTGTGTTTATGTGCTTCTGTCTTTCTTGACTCCAGTGATTCCCAGGATTGTGTAGATTTTTATCATAATGGAATGGATCGTTTTAAGAATATCATTCCTCCATATGTGTGTCTATCTGGGTCTTTTCAAGGAATAGTTCAACCAAAATAGAACATTCTGTCATCATTTACTCATCCTCATGTTGTTGCAACATTAGAGCTGCCACTTAGAAACTGTTGATTATTTATTTGATCAACTGGGCGTCACGGGTTGAGTTATGTAAACGCACATGACCATGAAGATGAAGGTAGTAGGCAGTCTTTAATAAATCCACAGGTAAATCCATACAAGGAGAACAGCATACAATACAGCAGATGAGACCCAACAGGAATGAACAGAAACAAGGGAACTTGAGTACACAGGCAAACAAGGATAATTATGCCCATTCCTGCGCCCAAAACAAAGTGTCTGTGGATGAGAGTCTGAATATACGATGAGTGGAAGGAAATTTGACACAGAGGTCATTTATGTCCGATTACAATCAGATTATTATTAGGATCCATGTAATAATTAATGTTCTATTTATTAAAACAAAGTATAAATGTCAGGTTAGTGTTTTAGAGTACATTGTTCCAAAATAATAATTAATGATTATTTAGATTATTCAGACCTTTTGTGTGAATCTCACATCAATGATTCTTTGAAAAGAAGAAGAGTCGAACATTGTCATTCTCTCATGAACTCTCATGAAGGTGCCAAAGTGTGCTAGGATGGATGTCAAGATTTTCCATACATAATAACTTGTATGATATTTTATAGTATTTTTTGTGCTTTTGGAGCAGTCCTTACTCAATGGATTTGTACAGAGTGGCCAGGATATTCTTCAAAAATTCAACTTTAGTGTTTGATGAAAGAAAGAAAGTCATTTGAGTTTGGAAAGACATTGGAATGGTTGTTAAATGATGACAGCATTTTTTTTTTAGAGTGAATTACCCCTTTAAGCCTTTTATCATAATGGAAAGTTTACAGTGATTATATGTTTAAAAATGTCATTCCTCTGTGTCTTTTAATGCTTTTCTGTCCTCGTTTTTCTTCATCAGGGTGCTGCGGAAATTCCAGTATCAGCTTAACCCCAGACAGGTGTACAGTCTGGAACAAGGAGGACCCATGGCAGGGTAAGACAACTAAAAGCCACCATCAAATTTCAATGGAGATGTGTGCGAATAAAAAATTTTTTTGAGTCATGACAGAATTGCTCAAAAACTGTTTGACATTCTCACTGTTGTTTTGTTCTGGCATGGCTCCCTCTCGCTCTTATCCTTTTGCTTCTACTAACCTGCAATAAAGCGAGCCAACCTGCAATCAACTAGTCTGAGAGAGGAACCACTCACAAAGTGAAGCTGACTTTGAGAGACCTACAAGACATTTACTATGACTCAAGCAGCCCCCTGCTGTGTAAATATATTCATTTAAGTGATAAATGCACTTCTGAGCCTGTCAGTCACACGGAGGCTTCCTTAAATATATATTGTACTAAATCCTCTTCGCCCATACACCCCACCTGATTTGGACCAGCTCAGGGTCGTCCAAAACAGTTTTTAATTGTAGCATAGCAGTGGAATCTAACTTCTAACATTTTGGCACATACTCCACGCCATGTCTGATCTTAGCTAACTGATGAGATTGCTTACGAAGAAACATTTTAGCACTCAGAGGTTAAGTATATTGTTTGACCTCTAATTTCCTAGGAAAAATAAACGCTAAGGAGACCATTGTAAGAATACAGAGCAGTATTATTTTAGTATTGTTTATGTGTGATCATAGTATTTTTAGTATTATTTATATAGTATTTTAGTAAAAGCTATTTTGAAATAGCTTTTATTTGTAATATTTTATTAGTTTTCTTTTTGTATATTTCAATATAGTTTTAATTAATTTTTATTTCAGATTTAATGATTTTAGTGCTTGAATTTACACAGTTGCCAAGGCAGCATTTCTAATTTCTGTTCTGTTCTGTTCTGTTAAAAAGTTTTTTTTTATCTAATGTTTATTTTATTTCAGCTTTAATTAAATTATTTACCGAAAATAGTTTTAATGTTAGTTAACAATAACAACGCTGATATAGAGCAATATATTTAATGCAGATTTCGATCATTTGTCCATGAAATAACTTGACAAGAAATCATTTTTGTATCTTACTCTAGCCTAAGATGTTTTCTGATCTGTTAGCTGGTTTTAGAGAGGTTTTGGGTGGGTTTAGCCAAGCTTTTAGGTGGGTGACCAGCTTGGCTGGACTGAAAGAGCAGCATAAACCAGTTAAGGCATGCAAACCAGCTTAGGCTTAAAGGATGTTTGTATTCATGTTGAAATTTCAGAACCTGCAAATCTGAGCATATTTGAGACATTAATATGCCTATGGATCTTATGGAGTCTTTTTCTCAAGTGAAAAATCTGAGAATCAGAAAACTCAATTTGGTTTCCGTTTAATCCATTTGCTGTCTAGAAGAAAAATGTATATATTGAGGAGGTTTAGTTTTTTTGGACTTCCACTGTAGTGTGCTCTTACACAGGTACACATACTTTAAACCCACTCAAAGCACACAAGTACTGTACATTCTGTTCAGCACCCAGTGATTCTCCTTCTGGAAAAAGGAGAGAGAGAGAGAGAGAGAGAGAGAGAGAGAGAGAGAGAGAGAGAGAGAGAGAGAGAGAGAGAGAGAGAGAGAGAGAGAGAGAGAGAGAGAGAGAGAGAGAGAGAGAGAGAGAGAGAGAGAGAGAGAGAGAGAGAGAGAGAGAGAGAGAGAGAGAGAGAGAAAGTACAGAACAAAAGCAATGGTCGTTCCACTGGAAAGCAGGCTAACCTTCCATCCTAGATCCCCCTCCCACCACGAAATGTTCTGTAGTCACGACTGGAGCGCTACTCATCATGAGACCATTCAGAGAGAAAAAGAGAGAAGGGGATTGAAGATTGTATGACATTGATGATTTCACTCATGGAGAACCATATGATCATATATCAAATTCTCTTTCTTAAGCACTTAGCTAATTCATAAGCATATAGTTCAAGGGTTGGCAGCCTTTTTTTGATGTGATATTTTTTAATCTTGTTAATGACTGCCATTGTTCGTAATAACAGCTCCTCTTTAATACAAAAGAGAGAGAGAACTAGCAACCAAAATGCAGTTCAAACATTTATATTATATTTGAATAGTAAGAAACATATCCCTTATTAGTATTTCATTTAGATTAAGGCCCTTTATTTTAAAATAAATCTACACATTTTTTTATACTGCTCTTACATTTTTACTTTACCTTTCTAATATTCGAATGTACTTGTGAGATTTGGTATTTTGGTGCTGCTAAAGAGATCTCTACTCACCAGGGGCGTCACTAGGCCCTTTTTAGGGGGGCTTCACAATGTGCGATTAGGCTACACAAATTCGTGTTTGCTTCAGTCTTGTTATAATCAGATTCAGCGCGTTCTTCATCTTCAATCCGCAGCGGCGCCGAGCAGAGAGCACGTCAGAAACAGAGGACAGGGTGTGTGTGTGTGTGTGTGTGTGTGTGTGTGTGTGTGTGTGTGTGTCAGAGATGGGGACTCGAGTTTGAGACGAGTGCGACTTAAGTCCCACACACAGTGACTTCAGACTCGACTTGAGACTCGTCCTCGAAAGACTTCAGACTCGACTCGGACTCGAGCTGCGGGACTCGTGAACAATGTTTATTTTTAGGAAACGTCTGATGAGCTCGCTGTTATCCCCCTCCCTCCGTTACAGCCTGCCTACGTAACCACATACTACGTGGCCTATTGCTGGCAGCGCGCGCGCGACCACACATAAGAGGAAAACAAACAAAAAGTTCGACTGCACCGGCCGTCGCTGTGCCATTCATCGTTAGCTTTGGGTTCAAAAACTTCAAACAAGACGCGCTCAAAAGAAGCGCTCAATGCAAAATATGCAGTATCACGATAAAAGATTCTGGCTCAACTACATCTAATTTTATCAGGCATCTGAAAACGCACCTTGATAGGTGAGTAAACATGTTTAGCTCAGCATTGACCATCTACCGTTAGCTTGCTTATTGCTTTAGCTACCTAACGTTACGGGAGGTTAACTCCGATTGTCTTCCTTATGAAATATGAATGAGCGTTTGTTTAATTGCCAAACTTGTGGTGGTCGATTAACGTAACGTTAATCATTTACGTGCCGCTGGCTGCCCGTTGTCTACAAACAGGTTGCAGGATTATTGTTGATCATGTAACGTTACAGTTTCATTTAGTTATAACGTTACACTGGTTTGAGAGTCTGGGATGTCTTGACTTACAGTATATAAGCTATGATTAGTTGCATAGGCAGTGCAGCCAGAAGAAGCTAGAAATGTTTTGTGGCCCATACCTAGTGTGTTAAGAGAAGAGAAGGTTAACCAGTCTGATCTCACCCTTTGGATTTTTTTTATTTCTAAACATTTTGTTCTTAAGTTACATGCCATAAGTTGGTCAGTTGCTTCACATTTACACTAAAGATTTTGAGCATTTGAATGTTTTGGAAGTGCACTGTAGTGTTAAAAATTTCATTTGGATGCAATAGTTTATTTGCATTTAGCTACACTGATGTTTTGCACTAATAGGAGTGTGTCAATTTTAGTGTTGTGAGTTATATCATTTTCTATATTTGGTCTTATGTCTTGGTATAGCTACAAGGCAAAATAAAGAAATTAACTAAAGGTAAAGCATTCTTGGTGTTTTTGTCATGTTGCAATAGCCTGTTTACTGATTATATACCAAAATCAAAGCTGATACTGTATGCTAATAGATAAAGGAGTCATAATAACATACCGTACCACTTTATTTTGATAGTCCACTTTATACATTCTACTAACTATAAGTAACTTTCCAGCTGCATGTCAACTAAATCTCATTAGAGTATTAGTAGGCTTAATATCTGCCAATTATATATTATAATTTCTAATTTTGTTGGTTCCCCAACAGATATTCTACTGACTATAAGTAACTTGGCAACTACAAGTCAACTTGTTCTCCAAATCCGAACCCACATCATAACCTGACAGTCTACTACAGTCTACGAATACTCTAATGAGAGTTAGTTGACATGTAGTTGAAAATGTACATGGTTAGTTGAATGTCTAAAGTGGACTATCGAAATAAAGTGTAACCTAACATATTACATGCTTTGAATTCCTTATATAAAGCTATGCAGTGTTCTAAGCAACCTGGATGGGTCGCTGTACGTGATGCAACACTTATAACCACAAGAGACTTGAGACTTGACTTGGACTCTAGCTCAGAGACTTGAGACTTGACTTGGACTCTAGCTCAGAGACTTGAGACTTGACTTGGACTCTAGCTCAGAGACTTGTGAGCATCTCTGGTGTGTGTGTGTTCATGTGTGTGTTCATCTGAGCCTCATTGGTCTGTCACTGCTCGTCAATGTCAGAATATTTGAGATGACCAATCAAATCAAAGTAGGCAGGCTTTATGTTCACAGACGCTGCTGAGATGTAAGTAGCTAAACTTAACATTTCATATTTTACTTTTTTAGGTCATAAATGTTAAACGAATGACAAAAAATAATCAGGCAAACTACGGTAATATAGTTTTGTCTAATTTCGCCATTTTGAACTGAAAATAGGCCTATGTAACGTGACTCATGTTATGTAATAATTAGTTTACAGAAACATTAAAGTCCCTGTAAAGGCAATTTCAAAAAAAAATTCTAAACACATTATAAATGTTAGAAATGTATTGCTAAAACATATTACAAAGACTGTGAACTGTGAATTACTGAATTGTGGAGTTAGACCGTTAAACAGTTTTTCACCATTGCTATTTTCCGGATTTTCTGGGCGGGGCTAAAACAGGGCTCGATGACGCACTGGAGCCCTTGAGCTCCTGGACACGCCCCTACTTGATGACGCACTGAGGCCACTGAGGCTGGCCGCTCCCCTAACAATATAGAACACATTCACTTCAGTTTGGCGCTCAATCGCGAGTTACTGTCAGTACTATTATTAGTAACACAGCATACAGATTGCTAGCTAGCTATGCCATCGTCACGGAAATGCGTACTACCTGAATGCGATCACCGGATCACGTACAAAACAGATCGGTGTCCTTTTTTAAATTTCCGAAAAACGATTACATCAAGAAGTGGATTCATTTTGTGAAGAGCCAACCTTGATGGAGAGCTGAGGAAGGATCACCGCCAACACCCTCCTCTGTAAGTGATCATTTTACACTGGATAGTTTTATAAACTTTCGTCAGAGACAACTGGGATTCACTGATAATCCGCTGTTACTGGTGAATGGGGCCGAACCGACTCCCGTCTCGGCCATCATCCTCCCGTCGCGCCGACAACTGGTGCCATCATCGGCAGTGCGTGCCCACCGTGCGAGCATCCATTCCGGCTGTAGAGTTCAGTCTATGATTCAGTGTGGCGAGTCGGCAGCTTTCCCGTGAGTGGGCGTGGTTTCAGCGCAGCCAGCGGACACGCCCCCAGCGTTTGAGAGCAGAGAATACTGCTCATTTTTTCAAGATTTTGATAGCTTATTTTATGTACTTGCTGGCGTTTTTTATCATTCAAATTTGGCTGGGTGACTAATAACACATTTTTCTGTGGTGTGACAAACTCAAAACACATACTTATTTTTGACTTTACAGGGACTTTAACAAAGCCGTTTTCATCATGTTAGGCACAAGATTAATAATGAATGTGTACATATTGAGAATATAATACAAATTGTAGCCTTTAGTAAATTAAAAAAGCTCAGCTTTAGGAGGGGAAGAGAAAGGGATGAAGAGACTGAGAAAAAAAGAAAGAGTGATTGAGATGAGAAGAGAGCAGGTATTGACAAATAATCTGCCCACTGACATGGTTTTAAAGCTATTTCTTATCCTTTTTTTTTTGGTCTTCAAACGTCTTGAAATGCACATATCAGAGAAATAAAAAATTTGAACCCCCTACCAACCTCAAATTTAGGACCTCTGTGATTATAAAGCCCTGTCTACGGCCCTGTATTAGGCATAAGATCAATAATAAATGTGTAGCCTACATATTGTGAATGCATTTAATAAACTTAATTACCTTTAGTAGCTTTCAGTAAATAAACGCGTCTGAGAAAATGATTCATAGGCAAAATCAACCTATAAGTTGACCCTATGTTTACTTTCTTCACTGACAGACAAAAATATAAAGCCTATATCAGTCAAAGCTCAGCTGGGCAAGATAAAAACAAAGAGAAAAAGAGTGTGATGCTGATGAGGAGAGAAAAATAATCAGCTGCCCACTATCCAAGTTTTTTGGCCTTCAGAACATCTTAAAATCCACATATGTAGATCAGAGAAATCAAAATTTTCTCGGGGAGACCACGAACCCCCCTATTTGCCCTACCTCACATTTGGGACCATAAAACCGTGCCTTTGCATCGTAATGAAAATGGTTAATAGTGATCTTTAGATCCTAAACTAAAGTGTTACCTTTTTTATATATTTTTTTAAATCATATTGGGGGCTTAGCCCCCCTAAAATGAAAATCCTAGTGACGCCCCTGCTACTCACCTTCATGTCGTTCCAAACCTCTATGACTTTTTGTCTTCTGTGGAACACAAAATAAGTTATTTTGACAAATGTGTCCATACGATGGAACTCCATGGTCAACAAAATGGTTTGGTTACCAACATTCTTCAAAATATCTTCTTTTGTGTTCCACAGAAGAAAGTAAGTCATACACAACACGAGTGTGAGTAAATGATGACATCTTTTTTTTTGAGTGAACTATCGATTTAATGTTGTATCCTTTATGGTCAATTGATTGTGTTGCTCTGAATATACGTAAGTGTCTGCAAAATTAATAAATGGAAATATAATGTGTATCATCAGTACAGCTTCACTATTACACTCTAGAGTCTAGATTGATTATTTTGTTTCAGATATTTCAGAACAAACACCTTTGAATTGGCTATATTCTTCACTGATCTTTCTTTTCAGTCTCTTGCTCATTTCATTGTGAAATATCCAAACTGATGATTGACACTCAGGGGTCTGAATGGATATCAAAAGATGGAGAGATGAAAAAAGACAAGTGTGCTCTTTTGCTAGCTGTCTGTGCTGAAGAGGCCACTCTTATAGCACATAGAAAACACACAGCTTGCTCAAGTGTCTTGTCTTTTGCCATGTCATGGGATAAGGAATTGTTTACGCAACCTCCATCTCTACAACAGCAACATTGCCATTTTAAACAGACTGGCACTGGTACATTACAAATTTATCTGGAGCAGAGCTCATTTAGTCAGGCTGAAACATGATTCCAGCTCAAGCCTGTCCAGAACCACAGCCATGTTCCACTTGTGTTACTCGCCCATTGAACTTCAGTGGACACCCATGTTGTGGACGTTGTTGTTGTTGACATAGTTTGAGCATTTCTATCATGGCACTACAGCAACAAACCTGAGAAGGTACAAAAAACAGAACCGCTTGAATCCAATTGACTGCATTGTCATTGTAAATGTAGTGGCACATTTACTCGTCTGTTTCGCTCTCGTCCTGCATACATAAAACATGCTGCATTGTCAGAGCCCATCAAAAGAGGTTACACAGTATTAATATTTCAGACAGTTGTGTGAATGCTCTGCTTACGCTCAGGTCTATAGCAGATCCCACATGTGCCTGTTTGCAGGATATGTCCTGGACTCACCCTTGTGCTGCAGTTAATACTCCTGACCAGCAGATGGTGGTGTCTTCATCAGCCTCTGTCCTGCTCTATTAAACTTGCCTCTGAATGTTCAGTGAAGAGATGGAGGTCAAGTGTTTACAGATAAAATAAGTGATAGCATTCCGACGACTTTCCAAAAGAGGGAAAAAATATCTAGAGATTGATTACAGCAGTCAGAAGAGAGAATGATGTCAAATTTGCAGTTGAATTAGAAACACACTCGCAGCAGCGTTTTTTTTTATTTACTTTTTTTATTTACTGCCAAGGTAATATAACACAAAGTATGGCATTATAAATGTGCATTAAATTTTTTTTAAATGAAAATATGAACATTTTTACTTTATTTGCAATATTGATAACTGTGCAAACATAGTCATAGTGAAAAAGGGTCCATAATGATTTCTGAAGGATCTTGTGACACTGAAGACAAATTCAGCTTTTCCATTACAGAAATAAATTGTATTTAAAAAATGTATTAAAATAGTACATACATTATTAGTTTATTTTAAAATGTTGGTAACACTTTAGTTTAGGGTCCTATTCTCACTATTAACTAGTTGTTTATCAGCATGATATTGGCTTTTTTTTAGTAGGCCTACTTACTGTATAAAGCATATATTAATGCCTTATTCTGCATAAACTACATCCCTTAATCCTACCCAATAACTAAACTTATACTTATACTATTAATAAGCAGTTATTAGGAGTTTTTTGAGGCTAAGTCGTAGTTAATAGTTAGTTGATAGTGAGAATTGGACCCTAATCTAATGTGTGACCAAAACGTGTAATGTTTAATATATTTGATTTTGCAGTTTGTCTTCTGTTTCTGATCTGTGACATAAATTGAATTGAATTTATTTGTCAGTAGTGAGAAATTGTGACGCTTTATTCATTCAGTGCTTTGCTCACAGCTTAAGGCCACTTCACAAACAAATAAAAAATGAGCAAATTTAGGATCAAATGTAAGACTGGCTTCACAGTCAAAAAAGGCTTTAGTTGAGATTAAAAGGAAGAGATGTTTTGGAGCCTCAATGGGGTTGAGTTCCAGAGATTTGCTCCCATGACACTGAATGGGAAAAACATAAATCTTCTATAACATCCTTCAGATCAAACATACTGCATTGAACAGTAAACTGTGAATAGCCACTGGGGAATGCTGATCATTCTCATTGTTTTTATGTCTCCCAGTCTCAACTTTTTTCGAGACGTGCCTGATTTCCGTGTGCTGGCCTGTGGAGGCGATGGATCAGTGGGGTGGATTTTGGACTGCATTGGTGAGTACGCATCATCATCAATGCTTTCCAGAGCTGTAATAATTAACATGGTTACATGGACTCAATAGACCATCTGACTAATGTAGCAGTAACACTGTACTAGTATACGAAGTACAAATTGCAACAGTAGGCTCGCATTGGGACTTTACACCGACAGCATTTCAGCTGCTCTGTAGAGAAAATAAAGTGATTTCTGGTTTACTAAATATCAATTTTATCTTTCAAGATTAGTGTTTGATGATATGACCAAAGAAAAGCTTTCATTTGAGGTACAGAATTTGTATTACCCTGCAGTTTGGATATAAAAGACACTTAGAGGGGTACTTCACCACTGGCAAAAATAGGCTTTAAATAAACCTTGGCTGCCTATACAGTAGAAAGGTGATTTTTTTTAAATCGGTGCTACTAGAGAAAGCAGAGAAAAAAGGCTGTTATCTTTCCTTTTGCCAAATAGGTTCAACACCCATAATGCACTATAGGCATGTTGCCGACCAAGGCCAGTCACACCAGTCTGCTATGTATACACTTGACCAGAGTCAAATACCGCCTTGTTTTAGTAGGAAATACTTCTTAGCAAACTTTTAGTCATAATGTTGTCGACTTGTATTGTTCCCATGTGCAAGAATTCAAAGTGAAGTGAAATTTCCAGTGAAGTATTCATCGCAGTGGCTAAATGCTGCAAAGAATCGTAAATACGGAGAGAACACCGCAAAAGAAAACCTGAAAAAAGTCTGTGTTTGTAGTCAACATTTCAAACTGGATTACAATGAACATGCACGAAAAACTTTTACTTAAAAAATAAAAGTGAATTTCTCAGTCAATACAAAGAAGGTTGTTACACTTTAATTGATGAACTTTACACTGTATTTAAACTGAAATTTGAACTGACTCAAACATCCCCATTGTCTTTTTGGAGCTGCTTTACAGCAGAATTTGACATATATTTGATGAAGTTTGCATCATTGATTCTGTTATTTACTCGTTTATTACTGTTTTGAAACAATCTGTATTGTATAAAGCGCTTTATAAATAAAGGTGACTTGATTGCACTTTAAATTTGCTGCTATATTGCATCTGCATTTCCCCTAGGATATCAATAAAGCATGTCAACCAATTCAGCTACAAACATTTGAACATTAGGACGTCCTTCCATGCAGTACTTGACACAAGACTGGCTCTTATTTAAGGCACATACTGTATAATCATGGCGTTTAACCATCAGAAAGATCAGAAAGACAAATCATTGTTTCTAGGAAGAGCATTGACTCATCTGTGACCTCTTTCATATGAGTGAATGCAGGATAACAGTGGAGATATAATGGCCTGTCTTTCCCCCTCCTAACAGCCGTATTGATGTTAATGGATGAGCGCTGGAGAGGAACCTTGTGTGGGCAGTGGTAGATATCGCCGCTAAGTGCTGATTTAGAATCAGTTTGGTCTCCAAACCTTTGGCTTGAAATTGCAATTGGCTGATGGTACTGAAACCTGAACTCAGATCAGAAGCGATGTGCTCTTCATCGCTTTAGAGAATCTTTAGGCTGGCAAATTGAGGCTGACAGGGGGACACACGTGGGAGATTGTCCTTCTAACTGCCCTAAAGTGATGATTTAGGAGCAGCTTTTGAATGAGAGCCGCTCTGCGATCAGTCCTTGCTTGTTGTTCACCCACACGAGTTTGACTGGTATTATAAAATGTCTGCTGCTGACGATTACTCAGAGAGCCCCTGCGGTTAGGCAGTACATCGCGCCATACGGACCAGCACCAAAAACAACGTCCCCGCGGTCCCTTTGCACAAACCAATGAGCCACACAGGGACCATCAGCGTGAGGACAGAAAGATACAGTTCATCATTGACTCTCTTCTGCGGATAGCACACCCTGTTCAAATCTAATGTCTGAATTATTGTAAGGATATTACATGGGAATGATGCACATTGATGAATGAAGAAGACATTATCCAGTGCTGTATACCTAACTTCAATGTTAGTGCATGGTCTTTGTCTAGGCCTTGTTACTAGAGCTCTGGAATATAATTGTTTTTACGATGCATTGCGATGCTGATGTGAACCAATTCTGCATCGATGCATAAAAACAAAAGAGTCCATTTTTTTAAAATAGGCCTATACATATAAATGCGCTGTTTTATTGTAAAGTAGGCTACTCTTATTATATATAAATAAAGCACTTGCATCTGATGTTTCAGTTTCTATGAACAGGACATGCATGAAAATAAAGTGCAGGGCGTGATTGATGTTAAACCGTTATGAAAATATTTCAATGCGTTACTCCCGCTGACTGACACACACCCGAAGTGAGCGCACAGAAAGCCGCCTGCAATCCCGAATTTTGTTCTCTTTAGTGGCGTATAATATAGTAATTATTATTAAAGAAAGAATTGGAGGAAAAGATTCATCGTGATGCCTCTGGAATCGTTTTATAATCGAATTGTTACCCTCTGAATCGTAATTGATTTGAATTGTGAGGCAAGTGAAGATTCACACCTCTACTTGTTACATATTGTTTAAAAAAAGAGTGTAATTTTTAAAGCCTGTCCAATAATAACATATAGTTCCATATTAATGTAATTTAGCCTACTAGTCGAAATGAGTCAGTAAGATTATTATTAAAAAAAAGAACACTTTTATTCAGCAAGGATGCATTAAATTGATCAAAAGTGTCAGTAAAGGCATTTATAATGTTAAAAAAGATTTCTATTTTAAATAAATGCAGATCCTTTGAACTTTCTATTCATCTAAAAATCCTGATTTGTTTTGTTTTTTACTGTATTTTGATCAAATAAATGCAGCCTTGATGAGCATAAGACACAAAAACATAAATTTTGAGTGGTAGTGTACATACGTGCAAATCCATTAAATATAATCATATTTGATGTACTAGTTAAAAATGCAGCAGCAGCTTTAATAGCTCTCTTTGTTTCTCAACAGATAAGGCCAATTTTGCTCGGCATCCTCCTGTTGCGATCCTGCCGCTGGGGACTGGGAATGACCTCGCTCGCTGCCTGCGCTGGGGTGGAGGTGAGGACAAAACAAGAGACTGCCCACCAGCAGTTGGAGGGAATTACTTAATGCCTTTGAAATAAAACTTAAAGGGCTTTCCTTCAAATGAACCACTCGAGTTGAGATTAGGCTTTGAATTCTTTGAATCTAAATGCAATCCTGTATAAACCCTTCAAAAGGATTTTAAAACTTTTAAACATTTCCACACTCAACCCTGAACAGAAGGTCAGACTGTAATAATCAAACTTCATCATAGTTCATTGAATGCTCCAGTCACATGAATGAGAAAGCAGGATTTGTTGAGACCACACTTGCTTTCAGGATTTTCATTCTGTGATCTTCATCACACAGATGACCGTGGCAAGCACTTGCCCAGTTAGTTAAGCCAGTTGAGTGTACACTTAAAGGGATCGTTCAAGCAAAGATCAAAATTCTGTCATCATTTATCAGCACAAAAGAAGAACTTTTGAATAATGTGCTGACACCACAAAAAAAGTATTTTGAATCTGTACTACTAACAGACCAGCGTGTTAGTGAGATTGAAAGATCAGATTTAAAAACAACTCATTCAGGACAGTTTTGTCAACCTTACAAATTGATTCATTAAAAAGATCCAACCCAAAAGAACCATTTGTTTACAAATCGGACATCATTACTTCATGAGCTCTCTAGAAGACGGTTGTCAACATTATCAGTGAATACTGACTCATATTGCTCTGTTCATCCCATTAAGCTGTCTTATGGCTTCTGAAGATTAAGAATATAGCACTTGACTTGTTTTTATGCTGCTTTTTTTTTTTGGTCTTTTTTGAAGCTTGAAAACTTTTGAACATTCCTCATTCATTGTAGTTTTCATTGTAGTATCCAGTACATAATTTTTTCCATAGAATCCACTAGAAGGTTTGGAACATGAGGTTGAATAAATAATAAATGGCAGGATTTTTATTTTTGCACAAACTATCCCTTAAAGAGGCTATGCTATTTTAGAAGTATGTACTATTATATTGTTTATTAATATTTTGAATTAGCCTTTTTTCCGTTTTCATTTTTTATAATATTTCTGTTTAGCTTTATTTTTATTTCAGATTTAGTTTTAAGAATTTTACTACTTAAACTTGTTTGTTTTATTTGATTTTTTTGCCAAGGCAACATTCTTATTTTCGTTTAAGGTTTTTAAGTTTAAGTTTCTCTATTAGTATTTATGTTTCATTTTATTTCAGTTTCAGTTACCGTAAAACATTTATCATTTTAATTTTAGTTAACAATTACACTTTTAAGAATTGTTTAAAAATGAATTTATTTACAGTCATTTCTAACAAGAGATAAATAAACTGTGCTTTAAGTATACAGTATATAGACTTTCCAATCACTTGCCTACACTAATACATTCCCGTGTGATTGCATATGTGTGTACTTGTTTCGATATTTGGGTTTATTCAGTAGGTTATGATGTAATGATATGCATCAGTGAGCCTGCGTCTGCTTGTAAGACAGGTGTGGATGGCCTTGTAGAGGCTGCTGAATTAATTGGCCTCGTATCAGTGTTTCCTGTGTGTGCATGTGTGCGGTTTGTTCCAGCGGGTAAGGTTTTGCATGAATGTATTCTTAAATTTATTTGACTGGTATGCTGTTTTTTCTCTCCATGTGAGTTGATTGAGTTTAAAAGGTGTATCACCTGTAGTCAGTGAAGAGGTGCCATGTGAGCGCATGTTCGTCTGCATGTCTGGTCCAGAAAGGCAGAGTGAGCACCTGGGTGTCCTCACACATGTTATATTTTACTCCTTGGGTTGCCAGTCGGGAGTCAATATCCCCACATGTCTCACAGCATTTATGCCCTTATTAAGAGATGGCACCTCTATGATCATGATGTAACAAGAAGACTCTGTATCTTTCCCATTACAATTGGGAAGTAATTGCAGTTCATTCACCTCAGGTATCCTCTCGAAGGATCCCTTCATGTCAGTTAGAAGATTTTTTCAGTGCCTGGCAACCCTTCTAAGGTCATATTGTTCAACCCCTTGGTGATATAATATATACTTTTTTAAATAAATATTTATTTACTCATCCTCATGTTGTTCTAATTTCTCAACAAAATTAGAATGTATTAGTTGCTCTTTTTGCATGCAATTACAATGAATGGACCTTCAAAATGGACCTAAAGCACCATAAATCTATAGTAAAAGTGGTCTATACGACTCATACTCCAAATCTTCTTAAGTCATACGATCAGTTTGTTTGTGAAATGGACTCAATTTAAAGGGATGGTTCAGCCAAAAAGAAAATTCGGTCATCATTTACAAGTTTTTCCAAACCTGTATAAATGTCTTTCTTCTGCTAAACACAAAAGAAGATGTTTTGAAGAATACGGGTAATCAAACATTTGATGGGCTCCATTGACTTCCATAGTATGGAAAAGAAATACTATGAAAGTCAAAGGGGCCATACAATTGTTTTAAACATACAGTGGCAGTAACAGTTAACAGATTAATGACTTGGTCCTTTTTTTATACCCTAATCAGGCAACGTATCTCAGGAGACACAACTCTTAAAATCCAAAATATACCAAGTTTTTTAAAAATTCTTTTGGATATATTTTATTTAAGTCCATTTGATATAAAAAATTAAATGAAATAATTTTTTGCTTAGCATTTTCCACTCTTGCCTGTTTAAGGGTTAACTGTTTGGATAATGACTTCTGGTCTATCAGAGATAGAGAGATAGAGACAGCTTTATACTTTCACAACATTGTGTTACTTTGGCAAGTTTAATCATCTGATCTTGCTGTGTTGAGTTTTTTAATTAAGCTATGCTAACCTTGGAATTGCGATAATGCAAGTCTTTCATTGTCATGAGCACAAAAGTTGAATCGTGCTTGTTTTATTATTCTTTTCTATGCATGGACTCTTGCACATTCTTGTTCATAGGTAAAAAGGAGCTTTTGTACATTTCTTCATGTCACAATTTTTTTGTTTCAAACGGAGATCACAATTCTCCCACGATTCTGAATAGACAACTAAACACAATTAGGTAATTTACTAGAGGTTCTGACAAAGTGATAATTGCTGCAGTCAATTTAAAAATGTTTAATTCATTTGAATGATTTTTTTTATATCGGTGTTTAATGAATGATTCAATGACTCACTCAAAAAGATTTCACTTGTTTCATAACTGGATGAATTGTGTTTTTAAACAAATCTCTTGAATGAGTGATTCAATGACAAAAACATTTTCTTTAACAATCACTTGTCAGTGGCGTAACGAGATAAAACGATTTGGCATTACTTTTAAAAGGTGATTTAGTCTATTTTGATCACTTTCCTAGACATCAGTGTTCATAACCGAACTATAAACTTTTATCCTAGTTCTTCTGTGATAATATGAATATTTGTAACACGGAAATAATGATACTGTGTGTTTGCAAAGCGGTTTAATACCTGTACATGACAACTGCTCTCTCTGGATCAGCGGCAGCGCGAACACTGACTCCAATGTTCCGGTGTGATTTCGTCAAAGGTTTAATAGACATAGGAGAATCATTGTCATTTAGCAATAGTCGAGATCATGATCTTTTAACGATTAATCGTCCAGCTTTAGTGTGGCTAATTCAAGTCTTTATAATTAACCCTTTGTGTTATGTAGGTTCACGCAGTGTCTGTGTTGTGATTGACAGGCTATGAAGGAGGCAGTCTGGTTAAGTTCCTCAGGGATATTGAGCACAGCACCGAGTTGATGCTTGACCGCTGGAACATCGACATTGTCCCTGATGATAAGGAGGAGAAGGGAGATCCTGTACCCTACAGCATAGTGAACAACTACTTTTCCATCGGAGTGGTGAGAATTTACTACAGTTTTTTTCACAAATGCTTGCAGCTCAAAGAGACTCAACATTATAGTATCAGAACTCCTGAAAGTGCTGTTATATCAGATGTTTTACAGAAACCTCCTCCTGTCTTTCTGACCACACTCATTCATCAGTCAAAATCTCTTACTCCCTATTATGAGTGTGTAGTTTTTACCAAAGCCTGCATGAGGCTAAAAGTAATTTGTGATTAATTAAACGTTGTTTTCTCATGTAGCATTAGAATTAATTATCGTTGTCAGAGGAACGACAACACGCTTAAACTTTGCTGATGTGATTTACTGCGTCTGAAGCAGTTTCATGCCTGTGACTCGTGTATCATTGGACAGAATTCTCCTTCTCACACACAGTTGCTTAGCAACCCTCTTCTGTTCAAATGTTATATCCCATGTTGCTATCATCAAGCATTTATTAACAGAGCAGTTACATGTCTTTCACAAACTACTTATGCAATCTTTTTCTTCTACTTTTTATAAACCAGATTATATAACAAATGAATAAGTGAAAAAAAAAATTCAAGTGGTTTTGCCAGGTGGATGGATGGTCACTTTGTTACTGTAAGAAGTTACTGACTTAAAAAAAATATTCAAAACCTTCCACAATTATACAGTGAGAGGAATAACTAACTGAGATGAAAACAAAATTCGATGCAGAAATGAATGCCAAGGAGGTTTTATACAGATCAGGATGGATGAATTTCTGTTCTTTCGCGGGCACAGTCCCTGGGACCAGGTGGGTCTCCGTGAGCCTGTCTTCCTCCCCTTGTTTAGCTAATGATTTATTTCTGTCCTGTTTTTAGAACCTGTCGCTATAAATAGTAAGTCTGCTTTCATTTCTGAAAAATGTCCAATATTCTATTATAATCAGCTGAATCCCAGGTGTGTTGGATGATTGCTGTTTTATCTCGCTGAAATGTGCCAAGTAGTCAGGCCACATTTAGAATGGCCAGAAATAGTGACGCGACCTGAAACGGGCCACCTGACCTGCTTGAAATGGGTGTGAAGAGTGGCAGGAGGTACATGCAAGCTTTACGCGAGGTGGCATGAAAACAAGTATGAAGGAATGCGCCACTTCAGGGCTGTTATGTAACTCAGCTTAGTGTCCCACTGTCTCCCATACAGACTGTGTGCTCATCAGCCAACAACATGAACCACATAGGAGTTTTTGTTGTAGAAGCCTTGAGAGATTGTTGAAGTGTGCAAATGATAAATGTAGCACTCTAGTTCTATGAGAAATAAAAAATCATTAATGACATATATAATGCTTAACAAACCAGTACTTCATGTAACTTCAAATATATATATATATACTGTATACGGTACTGTGCAAAAGTATTAGGCACGTTAGTATTTTCACAGTTATTTACATCTTTGCTGAAGTGTGTCAGTAGGAAATATCAGCTTACATTTCTAAACATTCATTTTGGTGTTAATTGTAATAATCCAGTGATATTTTTATATGCACAAGGAGTCTGACAACAGCGGTATGATCCAAACAGAGATCTGATCTCACCATCATCAAGTCTGTCTGTGATTACATGAAAAAACAGACTAAATGTAGAAGAACCGAGGCAATGTCTCCAAGACACTTGAAGAAACCGACCTGCAAAGCTACAGTACTGGGAAAAGATTTAGACACTTGTGTAAAAATGCTGTAAAGTGAGGATGCTTTCAAAATGAATGTCAAAATAGATTTTATTTATCAGTTAACTATTAAATCAAATCAATATTTGGTGTTTAAGACAGTTTTTGTCCAGGTAGACTTGCCCATAGTTTTTCAGGTAGCTTTGCAGGCAGGTTTCTTCAAGCGTCTTGGAAATGTTGCTACAGTTCTTCTGGGTTTAGTCTGTCTCCGTTTTTTCTGTTTCTTCATGTAATCACAGACAGACTCGATGATGGTGAGATCAGATTTCCGTGTGGATCATACCGGTTGTTGTCAGACTCCTTGTGCATACAAAAATCTCACTGGATTATTACAACTAATCGCTAAAGGAATTGTCACGTTTTGGTCTTGTCTCTGTCACGTTTTGGTTTGTTCATGTCATGTTCCGTGTCTGTCATGTGATTCCCTGTTTGTCATGTGATCCTGCCATGTGTCTTGTCATTTGTTAATCGTCTGTTCATTGTTCACAGGTGTCCCTTGTCTTGTCATTAGTCTGTGTATTTAAGCCCTCATGTTTGCCATGTGTCTTTGTCAAGTAGGCTATTGTTTCCTGTTGTTGTGTAAGTTCATGCCTTGGTTTTTGTTTTCATGCCACGCCATGTTTTTGTTTAATGTTTTGTTTTAATTGTAATAAATACTGCACTTGGGTTCTCGCTACAACTTGCCTCCAGTGGATCATTACATTTAGGTTTTTCAGGAAGATGTATTAACAGTGGTATTCAGATAAGTAATACCCTACAACAGAAATTGAATTAAGTAATCAAATGTAAAATATCACTGCTGTATACAATGAATATAGACCAATCCTCATTAAAACTAAAACCAGTTTATTCATTCAAGAGCAGTGAGTGTTTTTATGTTTGTCTTTTGTTGTTTGATTAACAATAATGACTGCTGCAGATTTTTTAGGCTGCTGTCACTTTAAGAGCTAATGCACAGATCAAATAAACTGTTACACACACGCTCTTTCTCAGTGTTCACATTCACTTAAGATGCAACCGACTGTGTTTACGAGGATACTTACCAAAACGGCATTTCGACATATTTGTGTGTAGGCTATTTGACCGTTTAGGCGCGTATCTGAAGCCTACATTATTCTTTCCTTATGCGTGTTCCGGCCCGTCTCGGAGTGCGCGCACAGGAGGGCGCCTTGGGAACAGTATCTCTTTTACGGCTTAATATGCTTTTAATAACACCGTTTAATACCAAACACGTCCCAAAGTTTAGCAACATTAGACTGCATTTACAACACTTTGATTTGGCTGATTTGTATGTCAAGTTTGGGCTTTTAGGGAGGAACGAAAGTGCACCGCTGTGAAGGGAAGGAATGCAGCAGCGGCACAATAATCGTTTACGCCGATTATCTTGTTTTCATAATTGTTGGAAGCCAAAATCGAAAAAAATCAATTAGAATTAATTGCACAGCCCTAGTGTCAGACCATCTGATGATACAGTGTGGTGGTTTGAAGAGGCTGGTAACATGAAGGAGTGCTGACTATGAATGGACAATGGCCTATACTGTGAACCCTGAGTCTTGTGATGGGGGTGGACTGACTGTGCCGTGTGGGTCCTTGTGTGGCTTGGCACGGAAGTTAGTTCTCACAAGACATCAATATAATATTTAAAAAAACAGACTCGTGAGTTACACTTTTTCTTTTAAACTGTAGTGTGTCATATTTGGATTTTGAAATAATGAGACAACTATGAGTAAGCCAGTTGTAGGTTGAAGAAGTAGTTCACTAATGAACATTTATTATAATTTACTGACCCTCATGTCGTTCAAAACCTGCATGACTTTCTATCTTCTATGGAACATTAAAAATATATGTTTTGTGTTCATACAATGAAAGGCAGTGGAGTCAAATGTTGTTTGAAACACACATTTTTTCAAAATGTCTTTTGTGTTCTGCAGATGAAAGAAAGTCATTCAGGTTTGAAATAATACGAGGGTGATTCAATTATGACAGAATGTTCAATTTTTTAGTGAAATATCCCTTTAATATTTCTAAAAAGCATCCAAACATTGCTCTTCTGCTTTAAGCTATTTCTGATATGAAAGTAAAGTCTGTCATTAGATAACTGACTGTTCATGAAAGAATGATAGCTTTACGGTACCCAATAAAGTGAGCTTTGATGGTTCCAGTTAATTACATTTTCGTTCGTTCGTTACATTAATTATATAGCGCTTTTCTGGGTACTCAAAGCGCTTTACATAGAAGGGGGGAATCTCCTCAACCCATTTCAACCCATTCCTCAACCCATGCCTCAACCCATTTCCTCAATCCATTTCAGTGCGCAGTTCCGAGGATGCAGGCAGTATTGTAGGGGGCCGTTTGTGTCTGAAAGTGAAATCACGATACTGTGGTGTTTGGTGCAGTGTGGCATGGCACTGGAGCAGAGGGACAGGGTGCTGGGAGTCCAGGAGGACAGGGCAGATGGCTCCGCATTGGGCGCCACTGACACCTGAGTAAAGCAGTGCAGTGACTCATGCCCTGATGTAATCATTAGTAATGCTGCTTCAGCCTTCAACGTTTTCCAGTCACTATCCATGAAGGTTGTGTCGACTGTAGACGCTTGGGTGTCGATCCATGGTGTTTGTGGTTTTCAGGCCGTTATCACCAGGATTATGTATTTCATCATTTGTGACAGAGCTCATTTTCTCTTTAGCTAAACTAATAGCCTAATAATAGGCTAATAATAATAATGTGGAAAGAAAACAAATGTTAAAAGGATAGTTCACCCAAAAATGAAAAATCTATCATCATTGACTCACCTGTATGCCGTCCCAGAAGTATATGACTTTTTTTTCTTCTGTGGAACACAAATGAAGATATTTAGAAAAATACGCTATTTCTGTGAGTCCATTATAATGCAAATGAATTATTCAAAGTTCGCTTGAGACTTACTGATATAAATATTATAATTAAAGTTTATTTGTAGTATTATTTGTAGTTTTTATTGCACAATGCACATTTCTTAATATTGAGCCTAAAATGTGTTTTAATATCACTATAGTAAGGATAGTATGATATCTGTATAATATCAGTCTTTAAATGCTAAATATTTAAAGTGTACCCAAAGTATACTTGCAATAGTTCCACTTTAGCTCAGTCAAATATATTTAAGTATATCTTTAGTTGAACTTCAGCACTATTTCCGGATAACTAAAGTGCATTAAGTACAAAATTAGTTGTATATATCAATTAGTATATCAATGTAGCATACCAAAAGTATAATTTCAGGGTATTTATATTAATTACAAACATATTTAAATGCATTTGTAGTATACTAAGCATAAAATAAATGTAAA